GGATGTGAACAGTCAGGTCTGCTCAACTCGGGACGAGAGGCTAACGGACTAAAGACTTCCGAAGAAGGATCTAGGGACTGTGCTACCCGTCGCGGAGTTGCCACAAAAGACCCACCGAGGATCAACCTTCCACTTTGGGAACAACAAAGACTTGTGCGGCGTGGACTGGCTACATCTCCTCCTCTACCGACAAGAGAGGAACCCTCTACGAGTAGCCCAAGAGAACCATTCCAACGTGCCCCTGGAGGGAACTCCTTAGCGTTTGGGTCGACACTTTACGAGGGACCAACTGTGCTACTATTGTAAGCATGATTTCTAATCCAAATAAATGCGTTGAATTAGTAAATACGGTCTCTGTGTGAGTCTTTGCGTCCAGCAAACCACAACCCCCATACGGAAAAGGCTTTCTTGTGTCATCCTGACAGATCACGGGCGAAGCGAGGGTCGTAACCTTCCACCTTAGGGGCGACCTCCGAGCGAGTTTAGATTCGGGTACACTGCGTCCTTAATAAGGAGACAATCCTCACGGTGGAGTCTCCCCAAGGGCGTCATCCTTACACAATTATGTGACTCATTTGATGTCACATTGAAACAGCAAATGGTCTAATGTCCCACTTCTTACATTTTAGGTTCTGACATTTTACCTGACACCAAACTTAATAAAAGAGGTTAGGAATTATTGAGGAAAATTAAAATACATACACAGCACAAACAACACAACATGCATGTATAGGAATACATTCACATTTTCAAACAAAAACTAGCAACCAAGTCTCACAGAATGAAATGATACAAAGCCTGTATGTTAAAAAATAACAAAATAAATTATTCACAATGAGGCACTTTTTTACAGATGTAAGTTTAGCCAACTAGAGGGGAATAGATTAATTCTGAGTCAGGAATGGTCCAGGGTCTGTTCACATGTGGGCGGTGATGGTGGAGGTAAAGATGACATATATCTTTACACAAAACCATTTATTATGAATCGATAATTTGCTTACATGTATTTAACAGGAAGTTTGTTCTCTGTAGTATCACTCTGAAATTCAATGTTGATAGGATGTTCAGTCCTTCTCAAAGAGTTGGAGTTGAGCAGAGCATTGATGAGAGTCTGATAGAGATGATTCATCATGGCCTAGGGCAGAGATGGAGATGGCAATGCAAATGGTCCAAGATGAACGCTCATTGAAGCTCGTATGTTAGGTGTCGGGAAAATCCTCAACAGAAGTGACACAGATTAGTCGTGCAATGTGACTGGCATAAAACTACACTTTTGATCTTGAAATTTGGGGTTTTTATAGTTTTTCTTGCCAATTTTCACGTTTTGATTGGTGCTAATTCTCTTGTCTTGCTTTCCAATTGGTCTCTCCCCTGTCTCCAAGTAAAAACTGAGAGCTGTTTGGGTCATGACTCATGAGAAAGGTCTGTTTAGGACTGTCTATTCAACATGGTCCCTTGATGCTGACAAGGAGATGTTGATGGAACTAAAAATAAAAAACCTGCACTCATATTTTAGCCTGTTATTTTCTTTCTTATAACATTTTAGAATTTTAATGATCTAGCACGATGTCTCTTTGACCATCAAACCTTCCTTTTTTCTTGATTTCCTAACTCAGATTGGTTGTATACAGGCGTTCGTGTCTAAGTTCCATCTCTCAGTTTGACATTGGCAGATCATTTAACATGTATATGAATCATCTTGGAACCTGTTGTGTACCTTCACGTTGCACTGGTTGGATAACTAAATTTTTTTCTCTCTCTCTCTCTCTAGCATAACCTTCTGTTCTATTTTAAACACGAATAATTTCACAATTAACACAATTTTGAACCTCATCTGGAACCTTAGAGCTCTCTGCCTTTTTAAAATGTTGCTCAGAATAGTGACATTTTAGCTGGAAGCTCCAGAAGCTGTCAGTCCAAACTCCCGTGCTTCCAAAAGTGACCATCACATCAACAACTATTAAACTTTCTCTATTTCACATGTTTGGTTTCACATTTCATTGAGGTTTGCGTTGGAATTTTGATTGATGATGCCAGGCCCGCCGTAAGCGGGCGTGCAAGGTGTGCACCGCACGCGGGCGGCACGTCCAAGGGGCGGCAAATCCAGCGATCGGTTACGTGATATTCAGTCATTGTCATAATACCCACCCTACTTACACCATAAGAAATGTCTTTGCATGGAGAAAAAAATTCTGACCGGCGCGCAATTATTATATTCTTATTTATATTATAGCGTTTAAGTGCCTCTATTGGCATTTATCAGAATTAAAATGCAATGCGAAACATCTGTCGGCAGGTTGAAGCATCCGGCGCCGCCCGAAAGCCATAGTCGTGCTCTATGACAGAAGTTGACAGGACTGACGATAATAGGGAATCCCCACAGAGCTTCCTTCTCAATTTGTACTTGTACGCATTCGAACAGTTCTATCGTGTATCAAATTGCAATTATTTTGTTAATAATTTTTCTGACATGGTCGAAGTATAATTAATGATATTTTAACTTGGTTAGCATTTAAATCTGAAGCTTAAAGACGATTTGGGTAGTGAAACAGACATTGACGGTATTGATTTGTATGATTGAAATCTGTACTTTAAAGTTGCATTTTCCAGAAAACCAGTCTAATGATCCACAAACCCTATTACAATATCTTTTTACTAATGACTTAATATCAANAGTTTGAGTGGAAAAATTAAGGAGAGATAGATATCGTCTGGCCAACGAGAAGTAGATTTGTCTCACTAACGATAGTTTGTGATCGCCGGAAGTGCTACTGCATCGTAAGGTGTTTTCCTGAACGAATCGATACGGGATAAATTCAATGGCGCTATGGATTCAGACGCCATTTATTGGACTATTAAGTTTGATAACTTGACTTGTGGGTACCTAAACATTTAGTATTTTAATATTAATTTAATGCAAATGTATACATACCCAATAATATTAAACAGAAAAAATAAATATAGTCAATAAAAATCTTTGTTTTAACGAATGTACAATGTCGTGGCTCGATAAATACGTCAACACTGAAACGAAAATCAGTCTGGCATAGGAAAAATCGGGGAATTACACAGCAAAATCACGAATTGTGCAGCGACGTTATTGTGAATCGGCGTAAATTGAACCAGCATAAACCAAGGGCTACCTGTACTAATGTTAATTTTGACGCTTTTCATGTAATAGCTGAATGTAAGGTGCTGACAGCAGTCAGACAAAAGTGTCTTGGTGAAGATTGTTTTTCGGTCCAAGCATATAAACAGTTATTATANTCAACACTGAAACGAAAATCAGTCTGGCATAGGAAAAATCGGGGAATTACACAACAAAATCATGAATTGTGCAGCGACGTTATTGTGAATCGGCGTAAATTGAACCAGCATAAACCAAGGGCTACCTGTACTAATGTTAATTTTGACGCTTTTCATGTAATAGCTGAATGTAAGGTGCTGACAGCAGTCAGACAAAAGTGTCTTGGTGAAGATTGTTTTTCGGTCCAAGCATATAAACAGTTATTACAGGACTGTAATAAATATTATTTTATTTATAGTTTTATAACTAAGTTAAATGGATAATCATTTGTTTGTTAAGATAAAGAGACCTTTTTTTTCCAGATGCTTACCACCAGGAGGTGCAAATTTACTATTTGAATGAACAACTGAGTGTTGATAGTTGGCAGTGTTTATGGTCGGCGATTTTGGGTGTAAAAAAAAATAATAATTGTTTAATTTTTTGCAGGTATTTACTTAGTTTTTTTCTTTTCTTTTATTTTGTTTTGTATACGCCGACCATTCGCTACCATTTTTCTTTTTCATGTTTTTTTCTTATAAGAATATGAATATTATTGTTATTTTGGATATTGAAAGTAACCTTGTGTTATCTTTATTTTTCCCTTTCAGACTATTTGTCACATGTTGTATTATTGTAATATTGTTACTCTTTTTGTACTAATATTTATAAGTTTGTAATTTTGCATACAGGGTTTCCCTTGTACTAAATAAATAAATAAATAAAATAAATATTTATTAAAAGACACTCTAACAGTCCCCTTGTAAGTGCAGAACTTCAGGGGTTCTTTCGAATAGTAAGTGCCATTCAAGTTTTAATTGCAAAAATAAGTAGAGGTATAGTAACTTTTAATGTAGAATTTTTTAAATTTAATGTTAAATTTTATTACTTTAAGTAAAGTAATTGCTAATAATACAGTAGAGCCTCGATTATCCGACCTAATTGGGGACTGGGGTTGGTCGGATAATTGAAAGGGCAGATAACCGAAAAGTATGAAAAAATCTATTATTAGTGTAGTATATTATTATATCCCATGTAATTAGTATATTAGTATATTAACCTACTCTGCGTTGAATTTTCATCGATGTTAAGCCTAATAAAAATTTTTAAAAATAATAATCATCGCTGTTGTATCGTTAAAAATTAGAAAATTAAATCTCGTTTAAATACTGGCTCCCTTTCATGGTCGATCCAGTGTTGCCAGCTAAAACACGTAAAAATAATATTAAAGTAGCCAAGACATAGCCAAATATTGTAGCGCCACATCACTAGTGGACATTTGAAATTTGCCGACTAGGACAGTCGGTTGATAGGGGGTCGGATAATCGAGGCTCTACTGTAATTTAATTAATTTTTTAATTTTTTTGACTATAAAGAGAAACAATTACTTTATTTATGTCTATTTTGCAATTGATATTCAACATTATCCAAACCTTGGTGAGTAATGTTGAGAATATCTGGATAAAATTGAAAATGAAAGGATTTCCTTCATATTTCAGTGTTTATCCACTTGATTTGGATAAGATTGATATTATCTGAGTGGTCTCAACATTATCCAGATTTCACACATTATCCAGAACATATATATGAATTTGTAATCAATTATCGTAAAATTTTAGCATATGATTTAAATTTTTTTACCTAAATAATAATGTAATTATTTGAGAAAAACTATGGGTAAGATTCAGAGAAATAAAATAAATTACATTACCAGTTTTGATTTGTTTTAATTCCTCTGTTTCTGAAACTTTTTTATTTCCAATATGGATATTTTTAGAGTTACATATGTATACATTAAATACAGGTTGATTGATGCATTGGTTTTCTGTAATAAACAAAAATTATCAAAAACCAAATTTAAAATATTCATAACAACAAATAATCATAAAGCAAAGATTAAACAAATAATAATAACATAAAACCTGAAAGACTTTAATGATAAATTCACACAAATATACCAAAAATACCCACATCTCTCTATTATGGAGCAACAGATCAGAAAAGAACAATTACATACAACAACTTTATTCCAGAAATAATACTTGAACATATCAAACAACAAGCTACACAGTAGATACAACAACACAAAAACACCAGATTAAACAGATCAGATACTCATTGACAGTACCCCAATAGTAGTCAGTCATGAAAACAAACACAACAATTACAACTAGTGATACTGTATTTTTAGGATAATTAATTAACGCACACTCGCACCAGATCATCACAGTTTGCTTATTAGTTAAATGTGTATGTTTTGGAATATCATCATGTATGGGATTTTGTATTATGTTTTTGTAATTATATTTTATTGTACCAGATATTTTATTTATGTACTGAATTTGTATTATGCATGGGATGTGTATATGTTACAATCTATATATATAACCCATTCAACGTGTCCGTCTGTCCCGTAACCGTTTGATAACGGACACTAGAGGCGCCCCTATCGTGTGTCATATTTAAAACATTCAAATTAAATTAACAATTTTAATTATTATTTAAATGAACAATATAAATTATTATTATTCATTTGGCCAATAAATTATTATTTGGTCAATATAACAATATAAATAATTCATTATATTTGTAATAGGAATTTATTATTGTCACGGAATGCCTGTAATGTTCACTAGGAGGCGAATAACGAAAAACCGGATAGATTTGAACCGCTACGATAAAACGATAAGGTTTGAAATAGTTAAGCTAATTTTTTAATATAATAATAGAAACCTTTCATGGCACGACTACAGTGGCTAGCCACTGTAGGCACGACCAAAGAAATACGCCACTGTGGAGGAACGTAAAGCTGCCGCTGCTTTAAACATGCCTCATAGGAATTTGTAATACTGCTAAAACGCCCACTAGGGAGCGTCCCGGGCTACTAGTATTAAAATGTGGCATGCAGCGTACAGTATGTCCGCCATGTTCCTTCCGTTTCGGATTTTTGCGAATGACGTTGTAATGCAAAGATTTTTGTTTCTGCAAACTTTTTCGATTTTCAGAGTCAAAAATCCAATTTTTATATTTATTAAGGTTTCAGTTTTTAAATAAAATCAAAATTTTAGGCTAGATTGTTTACAAATAAAACAAATTTCTTTAAATTTAAATTTCGTTTTGATACAATTTCGTAACAATTTTGAAATGCTGTATTTTTTTAAGTTGAACGATGAAATTAAATCTCTCTTCGTTGCAGAGAAACAGAGTATTTTCTGACCGAAATTCCCGAAAATCCCCAGGAATTTTTCGGGTGTGGTCCGTCCGGATATGTCGGGGCCCGTCTTTCACTACCCGGCATCTTTGTGGGCCTGGCCTAACCCATAATGGGCTTAGCGAAAAGAGGTCCTCTTTGTGTTCACACAGCGGAAAGAGTTTAAATAAAAAAAAAGTTTCCTGTGCCTTTGAAAATTCTTGAAATTTTGCAAGAAGGTTTGTGTAAAAATTCCAAAACTTTTTAACTTCCATATATTTATTATTTATATTTTATAAATTTTATCTATTAATTTAAATAAAATAATAAAATTAATTTATTACCCGCACGATTACCGACGTGATAAAAAGGTAAAATGAAATGACGTAGTTCTAATTTACTCACGTGACCAATTCGCAATTTGAGAAAACGATAAGAAACGGAACTATAAGGCTAAAATAATCTATAAAATAATTTTAAGTAATAGTTTTTACATCGTAGCTTTTTATAAATTAACGAAATATCTAAAAATACAAATAATTAACAATTTTTTTCTACATATTTTATTTTACACGATTTCGTTATTTCCATTTCACGTTGTAGAAATACCGAGAAAACACGTGTATTTCCTATGTACGTTTTGTTGTCTATTTCATTGAATTTTTGTTTATATTAGTAGTTTTTACTAAAAGGTAACGGTAATGTCTGTGTTCATTGAAGAAAAATGTAATTGGAAATCAATAAATTTTAATCCTGAGGAATTTGAAGGCTTAAATGGAAT